AGAATCCTGCTCCTGGGGCTGGCGTGTGAGTGGGTGGGGCGAGGACCTACCGGGCGAAAGGGTTGGGCCCTTGCATTTCATAGGAAAGGTCACCAGCGTCATGGAGTAAGAGCCCCACCCGGAGAGCAGCCGGGAGCGAGACGGGAAGGTTCTGTGGGAGCCACATCGGGACTGTGAATCTTCCCTTCTCCTCCTCCTCGTCCCGCTGGCTGGCCCCAGAACCCCCAGGAGCACGAGCCCAGGTTAGAATGGAGGGCGCGGGGGGCCCACCGGCCTCTGCACGTCTCGCTGGGGGGAACGTCTGTGAGGTTTGGGAATGAGGACACTTCAGGGCGGACTCGAGCAGGACAGAGGGGACCCTACTCACTCGGGTCTCGTGTGAGTCAACAGGCATTAGCTGTGAAAGACAAGAGTAGGAAAAAGCAGGAGCTCACAGCAAGGAGGTTCAGCGGGGAGAAGACTGTCCTCATGAGAAGACACAGGTGACAAATTCAGGGGTGTCCAGAGCAAAGTGGGGACGATGGTCCATGGGACGAAGCGGTGGAGGCCGGGCCGGGGAGGAAGAGGGGGAGGAAGGCTGGTCGGCAGCCTCACAAGCTTGCTTTGAGGCCCCAGCAGCCAGGTGAACTTGTCTCTCTCTTCTGCGTTTCTAAGGCGCACTGAAAATACACTCAGAATCGACGTGGTAAACAGCTTAAGATGCATTTGTCGCCGTGGGGCCGTCTAGTTTGTGAAATGTCAAGGGAACCGGTAAAGGCAGTGACACCTCTAAACACGTTTCCGCGTTTGGGGCGCCTGGGTGGCGCAGTCGGTGAAGCGTCCGACTTCGGCCAGGTCACGATCTCGCGGTCCGTGAGTTCGAGCCCCGCGTCGGGCTCTGGGCTGATGGCTCAGAGCCTGGAGCCTGTTTCCGATTCTGTGTCTCCCTCTCTCTCTGCCCCTCCCCCGTTCATGCTCTGTCTCTCTCTGTCCCAAAAATAAATAAAAAACGTTGGAAAACACACGTTTCCGCGTTTGAAAAGAACTCTGCCGAAGATCTCGATCCCCCAGCGGGTTAGTGTCTAGAAGGAGGCAGATTTCAGGGTTCCTCCTACGGGAACGGAGACGGGGTGTTGCGGGCGGCGTGTTTCTGGATCCGGCTTTCCGCTGCTTCCACCCGCATCCGCGCAGAGCACCGGCGAGTGAGATCAGGGAGTGAAATCCGCTCGGGAGGGCGGCCACTCGGGGGCCTGAGGCTCTGGGTTTCCCCGGGGGGCTGCACGGGGCTTGTGGAGACTTCTTCTCAAAAGGCCTTCAGGTCTGGTCGAGACCCTGGGGCAGGAAGCAGCAGCCTCAGCTGTGATCCGGGCCTCAGACCTTCCTATTTTTACCCTGAGGTATTTGAGGCTTGAGGTCAGAGCAGTACTTTCTCCGACATCGGTTCCCTGGGCAGATTTGCAGGCAGCAGGACAGACAGACAGGCGGTCTCTACAGACTCCTTCGGTGTAGACCTGCAGCGCTGCGCGGCCGGGGTTCCCGCTGGAGGGACCCGCACGCAAGGAAGGTCCTTGGGAGGTTAAAGTACACCGCGCTCCTTGGTGAGAAGTGGCATCCCCACCCCAAGAAGATGGGGGCTATGGCCACAGGATCACGGAAGTTCGACTCTAAAAAGAGAGCCATGCCAAAAAACCTCTGAATAAGGAGGCAACAGTGTGCGTCCCAGTGGAAAGCACACGGTGCCGAAGGGAGGGTCCTGGATGTGAGCTCCTGCTCTGCCACTTACTGCTGTGCGGCTTGAGGCACGTGGCTTAACCTCTCTGAGCCCCATTTCGTGGTCTGCAGAGTTGCACAAGCACCTCTAACACCTTAGGGCTGCTACCGTGCACAGAGCAGGCACTTGATCACTCAATCCAGCCCTTCAGAAGCCAACGGGAAACTCGAGATGGAAACGAGGGGTCTGCCCGGACGCCCCGTATAACCACCTGCACGGGCAGAACTTCGAGCGAAACGTCAAAGATCTGCCTTCCAGCCTTGTGTCTGGGCTTCTGGTTTGCAACTCGCCCACCGGGCGTCGTTAGCATGTCTCTCGCCGAGCCCTCCGTGCTGCTCACGGCCTCCGGGAGGGGCCCCTCTCTTACTTCCTCGGACGCCCTGCGCCCCAGCCAGTCTCTCGCACAAATGGGCATTTAACATTCACGAAGTGACCGATTTCCGGGGCATACGCGCCGGCTGTCTCTTCCTTGTTTCAGCTTCCTCCCTTCAGCGGGGAAGACCTTTCTGTCCGCCGCGTGCTGAGGGTTTTCACCACGACAGCCTGCTGACGGGATCACAGGCCCTGCGTTTGCACCCGGCTCCTTCTGCTGCGCCTGCCGTTTGGACCCGAGCGCCCATCTGTCTTGGCCTCTCCATCAGTCACAGATTAGAAGTCTACAGTCTACGTCCCTCCAATCTGTGACCTGCGGGGACGGAGCTATCTGGTCACAAACCACCCCAGCCGGGGGAGCTGCATAAAAGTCAGCTGGTCCTGCACTCTGTCGGGAAGAAGGACTCTTTCATTTGCTGGCGTTCCCGAATGTGGCATCAGTGTGACGGTGGCCATCTCTTCTCGCAATGCGCCCCCCCCCCCCCACTCCAGCCCGAAGGACCTTCTGCATCACCAAGGACAGCCCGTTCTAGCCGGTGGTGCACGGGAATTCGGTTCAGTCTGGAATCCTAATTCTTTGAAAACTGATAACCCGCACCAGCCAGCATCTTCTGGACTTACGCGGAGGGCTTCACTCCCTCGTTGTGAAAGGTCACCAGCTGACCTTCAGGGGACGCGCTCCTGGACGAAGCGGGGCACGACGCCTCCGTGCCTCTTGTGCCGTGGGCACTCATTCGACATCGGAGGAGGGGACGGAGTGACTCAGTACCACAACCCACCACAGACGGCAGGGGCGGAGGGGGGGCAGAGTCTGATGCTCGCGGTCGCACAGCAAGGCTGGAAAGAGACCCTCGGCAAACTCAGCGTGTCACGCTGGGGGGCTCCGGTCACTTCACCTAGGATTACGCTAGACCGAGCTCACGGTCCCGGGAGAAAAGGGACAGTCGGGACGCTGAGGGGAAGCTGCAGGACACGTCAGTGGGCGTTAGTTTCAAGCGCGACGGGAGCACAACAGGGGCCGCGTCTGACCACACTTGGCACGCCACTCGCTCAGGAAGGGCCCCGGGGCAAAGCACCGCGTCCCGATCCTTCTGGGACCAATGACCCAGTTTGTGGGGGTTCCAGATGCCTGAGTTAGTCCATTCCCCTCCTTCTGTGCGTCTCGTAATGTCGCCACTTACCGCAGACCTTTGGGGAAGGATAAAGCACGGTGCCCGCATCCGGCACCCCGGATACCACGCGTAACAACCCGCGTTCCACGCCAGGCTGGGCGGGCACAGGAGTGAAATTCAAATGGGTCAGATATCCTGTCCTGGAGCACTCTGCCAAGAGATGGCCGGCGGGGGCGGGGGCGGGGGGTGGCGGGGCATGGTTTGTTAAAATGCGTTCACTGGGCATCCGCTAGGTCAGGAGCAGAGTAAGTCTGTACGTCCAATTAAACAGGCTTCTGGGAGGGAGACAGAGGAGGAGGAAAGGACTCAGGAAGGGTCTCTTTACTCCTAATTGACTGCAAAATAAACAGCTTCCCCACGGAATGGGGCCCCTCCTCCCCACCGCCCCTGCAGCCCCACATTTCAATGAGCTCTGTGTTACTCGGGTCCCCTATTACTTGAGAGAATCGAGAGCTGGCTGTAATTAATTGTGATAATGTGCTCAGGAGCAGAGCCAGCGGCAGCCTGGGGAGGCTGGCCAGAGATGCTGGCTTCCCCAACATGCCCTCCGCGGGGCTGCACGGACGGCGGGGCGGGCCAAGGCGGTGGGCCGAGACCCCCGTCGCAGGTTGCTTCTGCTGGGTGCTGCATCGAGAAGCCCAGCAAGGTCCCCCCTCCCACCTCCCTGCGCCCCGCTCCCCTTCCCAGTCCCGGCAGCCGTGAGCCCTCGAAGCCAGTGACTCTTAAAATGAAGACATTTATACGTGCGACGGAATACTATTCAGCCACGAGACGGAACGGGGCGCTGATCCGTGCTACAACATGGACAGACCTTGCAAACGTCACACGGAGCGGAAGAAACCAGACTCGAAAGGCCACGAGCGGCAGGATACCTTCAAATGCCCAGAGGAGGGAAGCCCACAGAGAGACAGCAGGTGGGTGGCGGCCAGGGGCTGGGGGCCGGCAGACACGGAGGGGCGGCCGCTGATGTATACGGGGCTTTATTTTCGGGGCAAGGGACGTGCTTTGGAACTGGGTGCGGGTGGTGGCTGTACAGCCCCGTGAGCATGCTAAACACCAATTGTTCACTTTAAGGTGGGGGGGAGGGGGTGAACATTACGTGAATTTCACTTCCCTCAACCAAATCTGATCAAACAGATAAAAAGCTCCAATTTCTGGAACACGTGAGCTGCTGGTCCCGAACCAACACTAACCCCAGCCCTGACACAGCCTGGCCGGGAAGGTACCATCAACTCAGATGGAGACACGAGAGGGGCCCCACGGGCGAGGCAGGTGCATGCGCCCCTCACCCCCACCCCGGGGTGGGGGGGGGGGTCAGTCAACCCTGGGCTCGGGGAAGCATGGAAATCAGGAGTGACGTCTGCGGGCTGCGCGTCCAGGAAAAGGCACAAGGGAGGCGGACGCAGCAAAAGGAGGTGGGGTGTGAGGTCTGAAGCGAGGACATGGGCTGAGAAAAAGGCACAGGAACTCAGAGTTTTATTTAGTGCCCGCAGGTGCACGGCGAGGAAAGGGAAAATAAATGAAGCAAGACACAGCCGAGCAGGGAGGGGGTGGGCGGGGGCGGGAAAGGGAAAGTGGGGTCTGGTCTGGGAGGGCTGCTTCCATGTTAGTGTCCCTGGGTCAGTCCCCGGGGTGGGGGCGCGGGGGCTCCTGAGGCCGTGGCAAGGAGCACGTGAACTTGAGTGATTTCCCGTAGGTCAGCTCACCTGTTCTAAAGCCGCCAGGCAGCTTGAAACGTGGAAACACCGAGACTCACATTTTCCACGTTATCTGAGCACCAGAAGGGGGGTGGGGATGAGACTGTTACCAAACATCTCCGGACACTCCGATTTTGCTGCTGAGGAGAGAGTCCCGTCCTGTGTCTCTCCTTCTTACTGATCTATTATGTAAGAGTGTCTTTAAATGAGCCTGTTGGGGTTGGGGGCGGGGGGGGTGGGTGGGTGTCCAGGTGCACACGAGCCCCTGGTTTTCTGATGTCCTGTGCTCCCTACACGGTGCAATGGAAACGCTTTCCGAGAGCAGCAGGCCCGGGAATGTGGGGATCTCTACGCCCAGAGATCATCTCTCGCTTCTTGCCATGAAAGCAAAAGCTCATAAAATCAGATGCCAGCCAGACTTTTTTTTTTTTTTTTTTCCCCTTTGGCTTGTGTTAAATGGCTGGAACCACCGATCATTACGTAAGGCACCCCGTCCAAATTCCACCCAGACACCGCAGATCGGTGCGGACTTGAGGCTTGGGAGCAAGTGTCGGCAGCAGTGGGTGGGGGGTGGGCTCTGTGCCTGCGTGTGGGGAGCTCTGCAAAGCCAGGCTCGAAGGCCGCCCGCCAGGCGCTCCCCAGCCGTGTCGTAGGCCAGGCCGGCCTTCGTGGGACCCGCTCCGCCGAGGGATGCCCTCCGCTGTGTGACTGGAGACACCCGTGACCTTACGTGGTCTCTCGTTTTAAAGGATGCCCCTGAGACCTTGTGGACTTCTTCGAACCTGTGATGTCAGCGTGACCTCCTGGAAGCAGAGGACAGCTTCTCATAAGCCCAAGCCGCCCGAGGCCTGCAGTTTCGACCCTGCAGGGCTTATCGGGTTCCTGAAGTGCTTCAGGAGGAAATGAGGAAGTGTCTCTGAGACCTACAGGAGATGCAGGGGGGCGGGGGGGGGGGGGGCTTTCCCTCGGGCCCTGTTCCTTCTGCTCCTTGAAAAGCCATTCACACTGCACTCTGCCTTTTCTCCCCGGGGTTCTGGTCAAAGTCTCCCACTGGGCTCGGGGCTCCAGTGTCTCCGTCTCTCCACATGCCTGTGGGCAGGGGCCGGGCCTTGCGTCAGCTGTGGGTCAGTTAGCACCAGGCTCCTTTCTTTGCACACGGAATCTTAAACCTCGGAAGGAAGGATCGTCTACAGGGTACCCCGGGGAGGGCTGCGGGGCTGTGAGCCTCACATAAAGGCAAGGGCCCGACCTTCCGGGACAGACGCCGCAGACAATTCCAACGGGGGGGGCCTCGGGCACCTCACTGCCCCCAACAAGAGCACATTCTGTGCTCTCACGCCCGCTCCTCCACGCTGGGCACTGTCCTCCATCAGAAGAAAGTTCGAGAAGCCAGCACATAAAAATGCGAGTGTTCTGGTCCAAATCAATCATCAGGCATTTACGGAGGGGCCTTCTCTGGGCTCAGTTCCACGCTCTGTGCAATCAAAGTGACAGCATAAACTAGTCGCCCCGGCACCAGCTGTTTGAGAGTCGACCGTGTTGTTTAAGAAATTGAGAAATGAAAGGGAGCATGTGTGGAGCCATTAGACACGGTGTGGATGAAGCAAGGGGGTAGGGTGGGGGGCGCGGGGCTTATGGCACCCCCCCCCACCCCCAGCCGGCCCCACACGGCTCCCGCTGGGGCTTTGCTAGCTCAGCACACACATGTCTCGGAGCTAAAGGACCTGCCGGTTGGAGAATATACTCACATGTTTGCAACCAGCTCTGTCCTGGGTCTGCCTGGGGTCCCTCCGTGGTCCCCTCAGACCCCCTCTCCTCCAGCGCGCTGCCTGCCAGGCCCCCAGAACATGCTGATGCTGCACGGAACCGCGGCCTCTCCCGGAAGCCCACACAACACCCCACTGGGAGGCCGCCTCTATTTTTAGGGGCAGAGGTGGGGGGTGGGGGCGCTGCCATACTTCCCTTTTTATTTTTGTTCTGAGCAGAGTCTGTGGGTGACTTTCTACGGGGGGGGGGGGGCGGGGAGGCTGAGACACTCGCCAAGGGGACCGTGCTCTCTCTGGCAGGCAGGGTCGCGTCTGCCTCTGGGGCGCAGGGGGGAGGGGGTGCAGGAGGGGAGGGAGGATCGGGCAGGAGGAGCCTGGCGTCAGTCCTGCTCTCTCTTCCTGCTGTGCCCGACCTCGCCCAGGAGACCACGGTCCCCTGACTACGAACTGCACCGAGGGGGAAGGCCGCAGGCGGGAAGCGTGGGGCCTAGAATGTTCCGGGGAAGATGTTCCACAAGCCTCACACCCAGCTGCCCCGAGCCAAACACACTGCTACTCTTTTCTGCTCGACACAGGCCGGCATCCACGGTGGGGCACTGACCCAGCTCCTCCCTGACCACCCGTGTCTCCTCTGCCCTCTCACCCTGCGGTGAGCTCCGATCACCCCAATTCCCCTGGGGGAGCAGAGGGCCGTGTCCTCTCGGGAAATAGGGGAACGGAAGCTGTGGGTGGATGGATCCAGGTGATGTAGGCACAGGCCTGGGAGGTCAGCCCCGCCCCTTCCTAGAAGCTGCAACGTCCCCCACCCCCACCCCGGTCCCTGCACAGCTGGACACCAGTGTCTCCGCCTGGGCGCCACGGTCCGACTCCACCGCGGCCTGATTCCTGTGTCCCCGCCTGTACCGGTGGCCGGAGAACTTACGGCCCCCTCTCCTTTCCGAAACTATTGCGGTAGCATCAGTGAGCCGCGTGCATCTCAAGGACACCGTTCAAGGAGTTGGGGAAAAAAGACACCCTATGACCCGCGGAGAAGCGGAGCGTGGCCAGCACCCCAGGGGTTCCTTCACGGCCCTTTCCGTGCCGTGCACCCACGCCAGTGGCCACCAGGACTGTGATTTCTGTGACAGAAAACTGAAGCAGAGCACGCGCTGTTCGGGGCCTGGCTTGCTGCCTCAGTACCTCGGGGCACTGGCTGTGCACGGCACTGGCTGGTCCCGTGTGGTGCACGGCACTGGCTGGTCCCGGTGACAGAGCGTCGTCGCTGATGCGCGTCCCACAGTTTATCCCTTCACCCGTTGGTGGGCATTGCGGGTGGATTCCCAGGTTCCCCTGTTGGGACGTTCTTGGACAAATCTTCGCGTGGACAGGTGCCGTCACCTCTTTGGGAGAAGCGCCAAGGCTCAGGGCCGCTGGGTCACGTGGTCGGTGTTCGCCCAGCTCCGTACGCGACCGCTGCCCTGTTTTCCAAGTCCCACTCCTCTGCACCCGCGTCGGCCTTCTGCTCACGGAGGGGTGACACGGTCCCTTCGCGGGGCCCCGGCTCCTGCCTCTCCCTCTCTCTGAAGCTGTCATCCGCTGATGCCCCCCGCGGTGTGCTGGGCTGGACAGGGCCCCCCCTCTTCAGAATGCGACCGTATCTGGAAACGGGGGGTCTGCAGACGCACTGAAGTGGAGGTCTCCCTGGATTAGGGCGGGGCTTGAGTCAGTGACACACACAGAGACACAAGGGAAGACGGCCACGTCACGTGACTATGGAAGCAGAGGTGGGGGAGGTGGCCACGGGCCGTGGAACTTGGGGGCCACGAGACCTGCAAGAGTCGGGGGGATCCTTTCCTGGAGTCTCTGGAGGAAGGGGGCCCTGCCTTGTTCCCACCTTGATTTCAGACTGCTGGCCCCTAGGACTGTGAGAATACGTCTCTCTTCTTTCGAGCGAACCTGTTCATGGTAGTTTGTGAGGCCTGTGATATTTTGTTACGGCAGCTTACGTGAAGCGAACGGCCCGCAACACGTCTCCTCGCCAAACTCCTATCGGGCCTCCAAGCCCTCCATCACCAGCGCCTCCTCCCACGGGAAGCTCTCCCTGACTGCCCACTCCTCACGGGCTCTCCTCCTGGGCCCCTCCGGACAGGACCCAGCAGGGCGGTGGGCAGGACTCCGCAGCCAGGCTACCATGGGGCCACGTGGCGACTGGGCGGGACGGGACCCTGATTCGGCGAGAGGCTGGCAGGGAGACGGAGGTCGAAAAGCTGGGTCTGGGGAGAGCTGAGGGAGCAGACTTCACGGGAGCAAGAGGGGGCCACGAGGTCCCTGGGGGCCGCACCCTGGGGACTTCCTGCCCAGACCGAAGGGCTGGAGGGAGAGGGGGAGGGGGAGGGGCAGGGGGCTGCCGGCAGGGCTCAGCCGTCAGGAGCCGGGGGTGGCCGCCCCTCAGAACTGACCACCGGCCCCCGTCTTCCCTTTGTGCTCCCATCCCCCACAGCCAAGCAGAAGCCAAAGGTCGGGGGGCCGCGGACTGGATCGGGGCAGCCTCTGGTGCAGGTGGCGGGACTGCAGGGCATCCCCCGAGGCCTCAGTGTCTCCAGTCACATGGGGACGACGGGAGTGCCGCCTCACGGGGCGTGAGGATGAAGTGATGCTTGGAAGACAGGAGCCCAGCGAGTGCACGTGGCCGGCCACCGGGGTTGGCCCCGCCGTGCTCCGCCCGGAGCGACAGCCTCCTTCCTGAGGACATTAAGGGTTCTGGCATCTCGCGGTCACGCTCCGACGTTCCAGGTGCTGACGGCCTGACTGGTGGCTTGAGCTGAAAAGAGGAGGAAGGAGGGGACGCGTGTCTCCTCTCTGGGCGGGGGGGGGGGGGCGGTCTGCAGGAGAGCCCCTCAGGGACAGCCGGATCCTTGTCCTCCCTCGTCCTTTGGTTCTGGAAGCGGTGCCCTACGTGAGCACCACGGCAGGGAAGCCTTCCTTGCTGGCACACCCTCAACCCCCCCAGCGGTCCCGTGTGGCCGCCGCCGTGACCGCCAGGAAGCCGAGGCTCAGAGAAGCCGGGGGACTTGCCCGAGGTCACACGTGTCTCAGTCCGCAAAACACCTCCGGCCGGACGGCTTAGACAACTGGTGTTCATTTCTCTCTGTCCTGCAGCCTGCGAAGTCCGAGCTCAGGTGCCAGCAGATCCCGTGTCCGGTGAGAGACCTCCTCCGGGTCCGCGGACGGCCGCCCTTCCGTGGTGTCCTCACGTGGGCTGTCCTTGGTGTGTGCTCACAACGAGAGAGCCCTGCCTCGTCCTCTTCCTAACCCCCAATCCCATCACGAGGCCCCGCCCTCACGACTTCATCCAACCCTAATTTCCTCCCAAAGGCTCTGCCTCCAATACCCACCCCCCCACCCCAGGGGCTTAGGGCTTTCACACCTGAACTGGGGTGGGGGGGGTCGCAGAGTGCAGCCCACAGCACGCGGGCAGCGGCAGGAAGGGTTAATGGCCCGGCTCCGCGTGGCACGGAAGGCGGGCTCGTGTGTGTCCCTCGCCTGGCCAGGCCCGCCCTCCACCGGCCCCGCCACGGGCATCACATCGACTGAGGGATGGCTTCCGACTCCGGAGCAAATCAGTGGAAAGGAAGCCCCCTCGCGGGTGGTCGCAGCACAAGGCAACGGGTTTCCGAGGGGTCTCTGGTGCCGCTTGGGCCACCCACGCTGTTGTTTCACAGTTTGTGAATGGACGTGCCGAGGCAGAATGAAGTGCTCGTGGGAGGGAAGCTAGTCACGGACGGAAGGCCCAGCGCCTGCCACGCGGGGACTCGGCTGGGCCCTTGGTGTGCATTCTCTCAGGCTGCTCTCAGGTGCCCGGGGGGATAGGTCGCCTTACCCCCCGCGCTGCAGAAGAGGGTGTGGACGGCAGGGCCCGGACCCCACGGGGCGGTGGGGGGAGGGAGGCTCGGGGACCGAGCCCGGTCTCCTTGACTTCCGCACACTGGACTTTCCAACACTCCACGTGTCCCTTCCTCCCCGGAGAAACGGATCCTTCCGAGCGGAGATAAACCCACCAGAACCGAGCTGAGGGAAACCGCCTCGTCCTTTGTGAGAAAGGGCGTCTGAGCAGGCTGCAGGGTAGAGCCCGATGCCCCTGACGTCCTTCCAC